GGAAGAGTCGTTGGTGCATTTATTATGGTACAATCACTTGAGAGTTGAGAAATTGAGGAGAGCGAGCAAGCTTTTCCAACTTTGTCTCTTCTCTCTCACACTGCCCCTATAGTTTCAAGTTGCAGTTTCAGTAGACATACATGTTAGCAGGTACAATCCGCTCTAAAGCATGTAAAAGACTGGGAAGTCAGGACGGTGAGGACTCCGTGTTTTGCGCTTTTCGCGATGTGTCTGGGAAAGTGCATTTGCGAGGTATGCGGAATATGCAAACGAATTTCTTATGCCCGTCGTTTGCGTCTCTCCAGCAAAACGAATAAGATGATCTACAAAGGCGGAATCACAAGCCAAGATTTACGATAACAGTTCGTTTGCTTCGGCTATTCGCGTACTTGTGCTTTACCCAGCTCTCTGCAACACCGCGTCATAACGAAGAGCTGGAACGTTCAAGGCTTCTGCTGGGCTCACGGGGATCACGGTCTCCGAAATCGAAACCAGACAGCGAGATAACTGCCTTGCGTACTCCAAAATGACGGAAGCAATAAGTTGTCAAAAGCCCGTTTTTAGGGTTTCGAACCAAGTAAACGAGATAAAAATAATTAAATTTCGTTTATTGTATGCAAGAGGACTTACGTGACACAATACTATCTCTTTCCCAAACGAGAGAGAGAGAATAAACTTTATTCAAATCGGCCCAGCAGTTTTGCTTTAGGGCGAGATGGGGGAGAATGGGATTACCCCCTGTCCCGTCCCGCCCTTTGTCGACGATGATGGAGGTGGTGGTGCCTCAGGTGACGGCTCGGAGTCCTTGGACCCGGGCGGCATCTTCGGCCTGCCGGACGGCCCAAAGCTGGTCGGCCAGGTCGTCGCTGGTGAGCGCCACCTCCCAGCGGCGGCGACCGCAGCCGCGGCCGCCCCCGGCCCCGGCGCGGCGGCGGCGACGATTGAGCTCGAATTTTCTCCCTGGCTAAGGTCCGCCGCAACGTGTGCAGTGGCCGTGATACTCTCTTTTCCGGCGCATTCCCAAAGCATGTGTCGCAGCGTAACTCTGTTTCCGCACGTTTTACACGCGTCCGTTAGGTATAGGCTCGGGTAACAGTGGCGTGGAGTCGCCGGGCTGGGGTAGGTGTGCGCTTGTAGCAATCTCCAAATTACAGCCTCTGTTTTGGTAAAAAAAAAAAAAAAAAAGTAACACTCAGTCCGCCGTATATGGCAGCAACTTCTTCGCTGCAATACCTATGCTGGCAACGTAAGCGATTTTCTAATGGCCCTCCTCTCGTTCACTTTACCACCACCGCGTTGAGGTAACACCCCTAGAAATAAGGCCATAGCGCTCTTCTGGTGACGTCGCAAAGGAAGGCCATCAGGGGCGCGCGTCGAAGCGAAGGCAACGCGCGTGGATCGGCCGTCGTAACGCGCTTTTAGTCACACACGCGTGTCTTATTAGCTAGAATGAAAGCTGCACGTTGCAGCGGGTCTAAAGAAGACACTTTATTACACGGGCAAAACACTACGCCGCTAAATAATCGATGCCAAATGGCACGAGGCATGCGTAAAAAACGTCTGTAGAAACATGTGATTGTTATAAGTAGAAAATATTGATTCACGCAATTATTGCTGTAGCAATGCATATTTTATACAGAAATATTTCGACAAGATGGCGAGACACGCAGTGATTCGGCACAGCAGTACAGATCAATTAAATATCAGGTAGACATAGCCAACAAGGACACGGCTCGACAAGTGTCACTTACGATCATGTAACCGATGTTATCGCGTGCAATCACTGAATTAAAATTAATAGAATTTCGATCGAATGACAATATGGGGTCGACTAATAAGCTTGCGAAGCTCAAATAATCACTCAAAACACTGAACTGCTGAAATCCCGTATTATTTAATCAAAATATATTAACTTTTCCGTGTGGCAGGGGTACTAAACTTACTATTTACTGTCAACTAATTTACTTCTCCCTATGGGCTCGAGGTGCCTAAGAACAAAATATAACCTATTTTGTATAGAATATTACTACTACCTTAAAGGGGCAGTGCAACGGTTTTAATGTTGAAAGAATTGCCAGTTTGCATTTCTTTATTTGTTTATACAAGCCCAAGTGACCAAAAACGCGTCACCTTTCCCCAAAAAACGGCTATTCTGCTGCGTAATCGCTAGGCAAAAAACGAATCATTTGCCGATCTGCAGCCGCCGGGAACTAAAATGACGGCGTCTCTGGGGGATACGCGGAAGTCAGCAAACCCTGTCCCCCTCCGGTGCTACACTCGCCGTCAGCCCCGTGGCGAACCGTCCTATGTGTCCATCGCTCGCCGCGACCGTCGTCGAGGCTAATACTTTAAAAGTCGACAATCGCGGGGGAAGCGGCTGGGGTCTCTGAAGAGAGGGCCCAAGGAGAAACCACGTGAACCCCCAGAGACGTTACTCGAAAGTCGGCGTGGAGAGTTGAGAGGCACTTCGACCTTCGATTTTTTTTTTAAATAATAACTAGCGCTCGCAAGAAAATGCGGCTTTCGGTTTTTCGTTCCATAGGTGAAGCAGATTAATTTCCGCTGTTAATTGGCCAAAGTCTGAAAATCGTTGCACTGCCCCTTTAATACAGTTCAGATTCTAGTATAAACGCGGAAATGGCAACAAAATAACATTAGTATAAATAAACACATAAGCACAAACAACGCACTTTCAATAATCGCACAAACTTGTTATTTACCTTCCAGTAAAACTAGACTATTACCACGCATATTTACAGATGCCGGCGCAATAGCGAAGGGATAACGACGAAGAACCAAATTCCATTCTATCACGAGATTTAAAAAAATCGACTGCAGCACTTTACTTGCGTCTTACATGACCAAGAAAGCCCGTAAATAAGTTGTTCCTCACCTGTCGATCGTATCCATACGTCCCACAAGATCAACCACAAAAATATTTGAACAAACTTCTAGAAGTCTCTCTCTGTTGAGAGAGAGGTCATCGGCCAGTGTCATCTTGACTAGTTGCCACACACGTCACTCAAACCGTAGCAGGACTTGTTTCGCGAATCCACGCAAATGCCGTAGTATCAAGCAAACACACACACACACAAAAAAAACTACTCGAGACTGCGGGGACGGCAAAAAAAAAAAAAAAAAACGACGGGTAGGAGGATCAAAAGATCCCCCCCCCCTAACACACGCACACACGTACACACACACACACGAGAGCAGCACCAGCAGTGTGGGACGAGAGGCCCTATCTCTTGCTTGTGTGCGCTCCCTCCCTGCGGTGATGACTGGATTTTTTTCGGTTCCTCTCCCTTTAAACCTTGGTAATGTGTTGTATATTACGTTTATATTATATATATAATAAATTGTACAAAACTGCGCTTTTAAAACGTGTATTAATGTCGGATAAACGTGCACGAAGGTTACCGTGCCGCTCGAGAAGAAATATTTTTTTCACGTCGATATGCATCGACAGCAGAACTTTTCTTACGTAGTTGCGCCATGGCCTTCCTTCCTCCGACGCTGTGAGGCACCCACTCGGAGCGCTACGGCCTTATTCCTATACTCGGCGACAACTTTTCTTGGCAATGCAGTGGAAGGTACGTCCCGCGTCCCCTCTCTCATTTTGAGTGTACGCAGGCTCTCCCCCTCCCCCATTTCCGGGGAGAGGAGGAGAGCCCGCGCACACTCAAAATGGGAGAGGGGACGCGGGACGTACCTTCCACTGCGTTGCCAAGAAAAGTTGTCGCCGAGTATAGGGGGTGTTGGTTGAGCCGATTTCCCTTTCCCTCTTCCCCCCTGCAACATATGGCGGGTGCGACTATCTATATGTTACCGTAAAATCCGTCTTTTTTCTATGCAAAATGTCAATTTGAAAAGAATTCCACATAACGGGGCACTTTCTCCTCATCAAGACTACTTTTTAGCAATAAAAACTTCATTTAAATAGAAAAATAAATATCTAGCCGCATTCCTCACTAAATTTCAGCTCCGTAACATCCACAGCGGAGAACACGTTCAGTGATTCGTTGAAATGACAGATTCTCTAAAACGAAAGCTGCTGCAAAGAAGTGAAACTGCGAAAAACCTGTTGGAAGTTTCCACACCACTACATTTGATTTTACTGGTGGTGGTGGCAACTCAAAGGCGCTAAGTGCATAGTGGTGCCTTCCGCTCTCACCCAATCTCCTGCACGGTTTTGCTGAGCGAGTCCGAGCTTACAATACTTTCTTCGAGTGTCATTTTGTTGCCAGCATGTGGATTGTGAAAGGAGTGGGGAATTCAGTATGCTTGCAATACACAAACCAACATCAGCAAGAATGGGCGGGCCAACCATCATCGAAATACACAGCCAGACAAACCGATGTGACTTTCTATAAACAAAATAATGGTTTTAGTCAGTTTTGTGTTCAATCAGAGCAGGCTTTTTGACTCTTGAACATATGTATAGCCTCTTCCACGTGAAAGCGGAACTTCTATGGTGTTCGTGCCCGAATAGAGTTTACTCTAAAACAAAGATATTTAATTTACTGATATTGAAGAAAATCTTTTTCCAAAAAGAGTATAATCATCATTCTAGCAATAAGAGATCTTGTGCTTTAATTAAAGGTATGGAAATGTAAAAGTTCCTACTGTGAACCAAATATGAATATCTAAACTTGACCGTCAATCAAAATAAAGTTGGTCTTAGAGCGCAGCTCCTAGGTGACCGTTTCCGACCTGAGCGTCGGCGTAATTGCGCGTGTTGCATTATGGTGCGTTTCTACGCTAAGGATTGCGGGAACATTTTCCCTCTACATTTAGCTGGGAAATTTTCACGCTAAATGTAGCGAGAAAGATTTTTCCGCCATGTTTCGCGAGAAAATTTATCCGCTAAATTTAGTAAAAAAAATTTACGCTAAATTTAGCGGTGAAATTATTGCTCTAAATTTAGCGGGGAAACATCCCATAATGCTGCGCGTGTGGTTATGCTGACGCAGACGCTCAAGAGAGCTGCACTCTAAAAACAACTTTATTTTGATTCACAGTCCAGTTTAAATATTCACACTTGGTTCGCTCGACATACCGTTGCTCTACACTACTAGCGGGAGCATTTGCCATCACGGTGAGCACAGATTGAGCTGGCGGCCACAAGACCAGAAATTCCCAGGGCATGCGATATACAAAAAAAAGTCCCTAATAAAATTAGACATCCCGGTTCCTTTATGCAACGCTGTGGTGAGGCGGTACACGAGAATTCCCATAATAAGAAGCTCACTTTTTTCATTAAAGCGGATTCACGCACAAACAGACCCAGAATCATGCCGTAATACAAGCACAAAGGCCAACAGTCCCTGCCTTTGTCCTCGCTCCTCTGGTTCTTCGTTCGTTCGCGAGAGCCGGGCTGAAGTTGCGAATGCGAAAAACGTGAAAGGGCGAGATTTCTCTTTTCTGTATTAAATTTTGAACAACCGGACTTTGAGGAAGCTTTTAAGAATGGTAGGGAATTTTTGTGTTGTGATGTCAATACTTCCTACACGAAGGATTTAGGGGGAAAATTCTTTTCTAACCTGCACGGGCCCCACCAGGCACGAGCAGCCAGTGGGAGCTAGACAGTCATGGAATCGGCCAGAAAGGTTTACTTCAATGCAATGTTTATTATTACATTTTTACCGACGGAGGGTTGCGAATTGCATTTGAGGCATTTTTGTTTTGAAATCAAATTAGGGGAGGGCCGAGGGCAAACCGACTCGTGCTCGCTAACGTAATTTTTTTTTTAAACATTCTCGAAAGAAACTGCGTTCCTGTCTGTATCGGGCTTATCATGTACAGCAGATAGCATGACAAGGCATTATAGTCATGCGCAGTGCGCCCGGCGCTATCTGATTGCCCTGCACACAATCCTGTCGACTGCCTCTTTATCATCAATGATACATGGTGTCAGAAGTGGCCGGTGCGGTCCCAAGCGTAGTCGGACGACGCGACGACGATGGATCTGCTCAAAACGCTGGAGCCCTTGCAACTGTCGGGCAACCTCTTCGAAAACTGGAAGCGCTTCAAGGAGAAGGTCGAGCTGTTCCTGAAGGATGCAGCATCGAAAGAACGTCCGAGAAGTGAAGCTGCAAAAACTGCGGTCCATTGTCAGTGCAGACTTCGAGCGGTATGCTCGAAGTCTGCACGTCATGAGGATTTGACACACCGCATGGTCGCGGAAAGCCAAGGTGATTGACACGGCCACTCCCAGGTCTTGCCGTGTGTTGACAGAAGATCACCGGATACCGAGACGTAACCGGCAGCACCTGCTACATACCAGAGAGCACTATGTGGAAGCGAGTGACGACGACTGGAGTACGCCCGGTCCAGACAAGAATGGCACGGAGCTTTCTGTCCAGACAGAGTCGACGCCGTGCAACGAGGCGACGTCACAGATCCAGGAAACTCCAAACGGCGATGCAGCACCTACAGCCAACGGAAACCTGGCCATTGCTACGACAACGCAGCCCTTAGCACCGTCACGCCAACAGCAACCTTCAGGCGGTGGCGGGTCAGGGGCACCAAGCCAGGAAGTCTACTCGCACGGTGAAGCCTCCAGAGCATCTCCATTATGACTCCGACTTCAATCAAGTGGCATGAACTTGTACTCAGTCTTTTGTTACCCGTGAAGAGATGTATCGGGCTTATGTACAACGCCTCGCATGACAAGGCACTAGTCATGCGCAGTGCTTCCGGCGCTATCTGATAAATACCGCCGACGTCCATTAAACTATGTTCTTGTTGCCGTGCACACGATCCTGTCGACTGCCTCTTTATCATCAATGATACACTGTCGAGTTATCTGAAGCAGGACCAAGATTCGGAAAGGTTGAGCAGGTGACAGATTGGCACGTTTGTGTAACTTACTGAAGAGTTACCCACACCGGCAAGTTCTGTCTTATTATTCCTGGAAAGCCTTAAAGTTGGTTTACAAGACACTTCACACAAGCTTCAGTTTTCCCTGGTGTCAAGCAATGGCTGCCGGTGCTGTCACCGTCTGGCTCCCAATACGCCATCCAGCCTGCGAGGGACCACAACACACGTTACTACTTCAAGGCATTGTATTAAAATTTTTGTTTTTCGAAAACTGGGAAAGATTTAAAATAGATGCATGCCTGAAGGGTGGCAAGTCAATAATAAGTTTCAATGGACTTTCCGACTCGTATATACCAGTTTCATTGCGAGACCAAGCAGGCGAAGTCCTGCTCATTAGTCTCTTTCAGCAGATCGCTATACTAAATAGGAGGCAAGAGGGATGTGCGCATTATTTGCTCTTCAGTTTCTTTCATCGTTACTTTTTTGTACCCAGTTTTGTTCAGTCCTTTTTGCGCATCTCTCGGGTGCTCCTGGGACACAGTTTTGCATAGACTTCGCAATCTACAAGCCTTTCAGGCATCTGCCCTTTTGCAGTAGCGGAATTTCATGCCAGATTTGTTTAACCGCTTACCAGTCAGTAAGCCTACCATGGCTACTAGTTGTTACATCTCATCTTCTCCACTCCCCCCTTTCCCATAAACGTCTTACCTCAAAACACGCCAGATTCAAAGATGACATTTTCACTCGGGTTGACGCATTCGGGCTGATCGCAAGACAGAGTCACCGGAGTATACGTTGCCTGGATATATTTTGCATTTGCCGTAGACTCGTTTACAGCACAATGGGAGTTTAGCCCCATGTCAGAGTACAAACATCTTCACCCGAATTGAGAGCTAAAAACATACCTCTTTTGTGAGCCTCGTGAGAGGCCGGCTGGGGAGTAGGTAAACCACAGACTTGCACACTTTCCTGAAGCAATCGCATCCATTCAAAACAAAAATGCAGACCAACAAAATCTGGTTCAGGACATTTATTGGACAGTACAGATACTGGCTTAAAAAGAATACTTTGTTCGACAGTTATGTACAGGGCTTAAAATGGAGTCAGTTTGTTAAAAAAATAAAGGATGTGGCAACTGGATAAATACACCTCCCTTTCATACCTTGGAAGAGACTCTTTGGATAATGCATCCGAATCGTACCTGCACTGTACATGAGTATGTCAGAGACCGACCATGGAAATTAAAAACTGAAGGGGAGGGGCAAGTAAAGGCTGCGCGATGCACTCTATACACGTTTGCAAGTCCGGCTTCAGGGCGCTGCCATCTTGCTTGGCTGGGGTGCACTCTGAGGAGTAATAATATGATTACGAAGCCTTGCTAAGGCGTCGTAACAGGATTATGGCCGCGCCCAAGAGCACACCCCACTGAGGAAGATGGCGGCGCCCTGAGACCGGACTTGCGAACAAGTATACTTCCTCATTTTGAGGCGAACTACAGACAAGGCTACACACCACCAGGATCAATCTCAAGTGAGCCAAAACACATGCGCCATGTTGCTTGAGATGTTGCAGGTGTCTGGTTAGAAAAACTGCAACGCGTTGCATAATTCCTAACTCTCTCGTTACTGAGCCTGGCAGCCAGGCCAGCAGTTTTGCCTATAGTCCGTCGGAGGAAGAGACGAAGCACTGAAATATTGGCCCCCCCCTCCCTCCCCCCGCCCCACATAAAAAAATGGGTTTCATTCAAATGCTTAAAACAGCAGTGGCGACATTCATTCTTTTCACAATGGCACAAGACATGGAATTGCACACTTCGACCATCGATGTACGTTATTGTCCAACATGCAATTAAAAAAACTTGTTCGTGTTGAGCGGCAGTGGTGGCGACGCAGAGTCGTCCACTAGAAGGGCAGCGTGCACGCAGGCTTCAGATTCGCGACGCAGTGAAACCTGGCGTGGAGGAAAAACAAAACGCGGTGTGAGCGACAAGAACCCTTGCAGCACACTTTGTTCTGCAATTCCTTACATTCAAGGGACGTTTACTGAACTAGGCGCCGAAATCGCAAACCTCCCTCCAATCGAGGTGCCCCTCCACTTCGAGGAAGGCGCGGGGGCCGGTGCCGGCCAGTCACGAGGACGAATAGGCGACCTAGGCTCCTTATTCGCCCTTGCGATTGGCCCAGCGCCGGCCCTCTCGCTTTCCTTGAGGAAGTGAAGGAGCACCTAGATTGGAGCGAGGTTTGTGCATTCGGCGGCAAGCCTGCTAGTGCTCAGGAAGGCAGGCAGCACCAAAATGGTGTAGGCCTAAGTAGGGCTCCATATTTTTAAGGCAGAATCCGTTTATACTTCGTTTTAGAACTGCTCCAACTCTCGACTGTTCCTTGTAGGTTGAAGTTATATAAAGTGTATAGACCCATTATTAAAACACAAATGAAAGATCACTCTCGGATGGGGATGGAACAAGGATCAAACCATTCCCAGCCAGATACAACACCGACCGAGTTACACAGAGCGGGTGAACAGGCCGGCTAAATGCACTGGCACGCTGGCGCCATCGATAAGGCAGCTCCAGAACCGCAGTTCCCTAGAGCGAAAGTTTTGTGGTTTTCGCAACGTCAAATGTATGTACCACCAATGGGAGATGGTCGTCCGTAACACCTCCAAAAGATTTTTGAGCCAAGTGAAAAAAAATGACTCACAAATAGAAAAACAAATGAAAATTTATGCAAACGGCAAGCATTCCGCAGCTACTCAGAGGACAGCACTGGCGTGTTCTCTTGTCGCAACAGATCCCGAGAGCTGTCACTTGCATACCTCGGCAAACCTCACTCATGAGGGCCCTCACTCACCCTCATCTTCACAGGTGAGGTGAGGGTGAGCGAGTTTCTGAACCAGGAAAATTCATGAGTGTGAGGGTGAGTGAGGGCCGTGAGGGCCGTGAGGGCGGTGAGGGCGGTGAGGGCGAGTGAAGGGCTGAAGGTGAGTAGCTGTGAGGGTGAGGGAGGGCGACCTAAAATGCCGACCTCTGGTCACTTGTCCGTAAGCAGTCGCGAACATGCAAGCCAGCCTCCACAGTTTGTTTATAAAGTCATATTTACACCAACTCAGCTGCACTGACAAAGACCAGACAAAGAATGTGTCCAGCTAGCATACAAAAACTGCAGTTGTGCTAGCCCAGGAGAAGTGGTGAAGTCGAAAACATGAACGCGGGCAAACCGCTAAGCTGTACGGACCACCTGTGGACTATGTGTAGCGAGTCTTCAAATCCAAACGGCCGCCTCATCGTTTGAACTGTCTTCTGCTCTTTCAAACGTTCCTTGCTTGTTGTCGTCTGCTGCAGAAACAGGCCCTGCCTGACCGATCACTCCAATGACATGCACATGCATTTTTGAAGCAGGAGGTGACAATGTGCAACCAGAAGCGGCAATTTACCAAAAGGGAAGAAGAGGCACCTGCATTCCTGGGCACTACCATGCTATCCAGAAAATCAGCATACCTGCCAACCTGTGGACTTTCAAATTCGTAAAAGTCCTGCAGCCGCGGTCGGGGGGGGGGGGGGGGGGGCGGGGGGGGGGCGGGAGGGGGGTTACGCGAAGCGATGTTGTTGAGCTTGATGTCAGCCTGGCCAGCGTGCGAAACGTTTACATCACACATGCACGTGCTACAGATTCCAAATTTCTCTCGCTTTTTGGGCGGCACGAAGCATGGGAATTCCGACCTGTAGGACTTCAGGAACACCTGAAAGTACCTCTTTTGAGGTTTGGAGTTCAGCATTGCGCCGCAAAGCCACAGTGACCAGGAGAATGCTACAGTTACACGTGCAACAAACAGACGCCGTACTTCTCGCCTCGAAACTGGCCGAAGCAACGAGGCCCAACAACGTCTGAACACGACGAACCAACGTGCACCCGTGCACTGCCGAACACACGAACAAAGGCTTTGAGCTTTGGATTGGTTTTCGATCCGTGGCCACCGGATAGACGGATAGTGAAAACCACGACGCTACTGTGGACGGTGCCTATCGTCCTCTTGTGGCGGTGCAAGATACCGCAAACAACAGAGTTACAAAAACAAAACAAAACAAAAAATTCTTTTCCGTAAGATTTGAAGCAAGATTTGTAAAATCGTAAAATTAGTCCCAATTCGTACATTTAACGAAAAATTCGGAAGAGTTGGCAGGTATGCAATCAGGCACCTTGGAAGCTAGAGTAGTCATTATTTCAAGCTCCAGAAAGCCCCGAATTTCTCTCGAATTATCAGAAATTCATCTAAATACGATGCAAGATAACATTACGATTTGGTGTATGAATGGCTAGACATACAATGCAAATATTTTATGATTTCCTCCACATGGGCCTATAATCATAAGCAGGTATGCCGTGCATAAAACATTGGTGAAACATACAACACAAGTTATTTCACCCTTCAAAAATGTTTATCGTGGACTGTTTAGACAGCACATGTCACCTTAAAACAAAATTAAGTTTGTTCATCTAGCAAAAAGGGTGTCTGCTGTGGACCGTCAGGCAGGGTACGCACGAGCGGTAAAAACAGGCGCTGCACTGCAATTTACATGGCAACTTGCGCGCACGCCGCGCCTATGGCATGCCGCCCCGTCACAGCGTCCGTGCATGTTGCTGTTGAAACTGCTGCACTTTCATTGCTCATGTCTCTCCTGCTTTAGCCCCATTGAGCGTGCTTCTTACCGAGCACCAGAGCATTGCGGAAAAGCAACACCCGCAGATACAAGCTCCGCAGGGGTTGCTTCTCCGCATGGCACTGATGCTTGGAAAGAAGCACACTCAACGGGGGCCGCGAGAAAAAAAATACTGAATTACTGAATTAAAAAAATACTGGCACGAAGCACGGCAATTCAACATGTAGAATTTCAGGAACAGCTGAAAGTACCTCTTTTAGGTTTGGAATTTGCCA